CCTCCCCAGGATTGAATTCTTGGGCCCTCGACCACTGAGCCACATCCCAGCCCTATTTTGTATTTTATTTAGAGACAGGGTCTCACTGAGTTGCTTAGGGCCTTGCCCATTGCTGAGGCTGGCTTTGAACCCATGATCCTCCTGCCTCAGCCTCCTGAGCTGCTGGGATGACAGGCGTGGGCCACCGTGCCAGGAGGAACATCTGTTCTTACTGATTGCCTAGGTGCCCTTGTGAGACTAGGAGCTTCAGGAAAGGTGGAACCCCATCTTGTGCTCTGTATCCCCCATGTCTGGCAGAGTCACAGATTCAGAGTGGCTGCTTCAGATACACACACACACACACACACACACACACACACAATATACATTATATACTATGCTTCTGTATATGTGATGAATTAATAGAGCAGAATTTCAGTCTGTTAACCATGTTCCTATGCAGAATGGGAACACAACCTCCTCCAGAGAGTTTGGGCAACGATTAAATGAGATAATAAGCACAAGGTACTTATTATGAGACGATAAATACAAAATGCACACTCTGCCGATGGCTTAGAGTACACAGTGAACCAGTCCTTTTATTACCACCTGTGCAAACTTGGAAAAGTCACTCTAATCTTCTCCACCTCAGGGGACTTTCCCTCTGCAAAATGAAGATGGTCTTCTTGTCCCAGATTTAAATCTAAATGATTAAAAGAGATAATGATAAAAACAACAAGGCCACACAGAAACGAGAAGAAAGCACAGACGGATTCCTGCCTGCCTGGGGAAACCCTTTCTAACTGCTATTCAAAATATACTCTATTAAATTATTCAACCATATAACAATTATAGGGCAGCAAACTTCAAAAGTGAAGTCAAAAGAGAAACCGGATGAGAATAATTGCAATCTAGGTCACAGACAAGTGGTTGATATCTTCAATATATAAAGAGTGCTTAAAAATCAAGAATAAGATCCTAAAACTCAATTTTTAAAGATGAGCAAAAACGCAAACAAATGGTTCATAGAACAAGGTGTACAAACAGACTGTAAAAAATAGCAAAAGATGTTCAGTTTAACACACGAGAAATGGAATGAAATCTGCCCAAAGATAGTGTCCCTATTTGATTGATAAAAATTTAAAAACTTGACAATATACTTCATTGGAACACGGTGCCAATGTGGGGAAGGATTCTTTTATTCATTGTTGGTGGGAATTCAAAATGGGGTATTTGATGCCATCTAATGATATCACATAGGCATATACCTTTTAGCTCTTCAATCCTATTTTTTAAAATTTACCCAAAGAGCTATCTTCACAAGTTGAGAACCACAAATGCTCATGGTTATTCATTATGGCCTATAAGGAACAATCTAAGTGTCTACTCATAGGGACTGGTGGCATGAAATATGGTACTTTCACATGATGGAGTATTATACAGCTATAAACAAAAAGAATAATTTTTAAACACAAAAATGAAGTCATTTCTAGGATATATTAACAAATGAAAAATCAAGAAGCAAATAGGTATTAAAATGTATGTTCTCTTTTATCCAAGAAATATGGGGAGATAAGAAAAATCCATGAATCTACATGTATAAAAGGAAAACGGCTGGAATTCACTCCTTGTTTGAAGTGAATACAGAGTGTGGATGGGAACCGGGTGGCAGAATGAGACCAGGAATGAGACTCTCTTGGGACTTCTTTTGATAGAATTTATACTCTTGAACTGTATAAATATTTTACAGATGCAAAGACAAAACTCAATCAAAGATGCTGGAAAAGATAGCAAACCCTAGAAATGAATTTGGGTAGAAATCAAAGAACCTGCCTACCACGTGATGACTGTGGGAGGCCATCTCTCAGGGACCCAGGGCCGGGCACCTCGCGGCTCTCCTGCCTGCATGACCCTTTGTCCTGGAATTGGACGGGACCAAGTGACTCACTTCTAATGAAGGGAAATGCTGAGAGTGGTGGGGTGGCACCTGGGCTGGGTATAAAAGTCAGCGACTTTGTTTTCTGCCGTGTCTCCTCGGTGTGTTGGTCTTGCCGGAGGGGGTCACCTGGCGGAAGACCACCCCTGGACAGCAGCGAGCGCAGAGCAGTGCACAAGGCCACCCTCCTGCCGACAGTCACAGGATTGAGCCTCCGAGCAGAGGCCCCAGCCAAGCCCCCAGAAGGACCCAGCCCTGGCTGGCCCCTTCCCTGACTTCCGAAAGACTCTGAAGCAGAGGACCCAGGTGGGTCACACCTCGAGCCACAGAAACCGTGAGATGGCCAATGCCACCCCTTTAAGCCACTAAATTGGGTGGTATTTTGTTAAATGAAAATGGTACAATTCTAATAAGTCAAAGGGAATGGATTTAAGTAACTTGGAACACGGGCGACCTGGACCCTCTTACTGCATGGAATATGCTCCCAGGGTCACCAAACCTTCAAGGACATCCTGGGCCTAAGTGACTCCGTTGCCACTGGTAATTGGGCCTGTGTGATTCTGAAGCTGTGGAGCAAATGGGACTTTCACAGTGGAGCTGGGGACCTGAGGCAGGGGGGGGCAGGGGCGCCCCAGAAAGAACATGGAGGTGCTGGGCTTGTGCCCGAGACACCAGGGGGTCCCCATGCATCTCCTGTCCCCTCCAGCCCTGCTCAGGGATGTCTCCACAGGATGAGCACACCCAGCGCTCCACCATGGCTCCCAAGGACTGTCCCCACCCCCCGAGCCACCCGGATATCCCAGAGAAATGGCCGTTTCCAGGGCTAGAACAAGGGAAATGCAAGAGAAGTCTGGAACATTCTCTCATGTCATTCTTTCTCAAAGAAATGGGGGGGAGGCTCTGCACAAGGGGCCAGAGGCCAGCTCGGAGGGGCTGTTCCCCACCAAATCTGGGACAACCTGAAAATTGCCAAAGGCCAACTAATCACGTATGAAATACAGGGAGAGGTTCTCTTTACCAAAGAATGTCAACTAGCAAGTGTCAGAAGGAACAGGGTGAACCTCCACGTTGCGGTGATCACATTTGATTCTGGAGAGCATGGTCGGTGGACCCCAAAACGACGGGTGGAACGTTGTGGATCCAAGTATACAAATGGAGCCAAGTGTCCAAGTGTCACCTAGAGACTGTGGGCTCTTCACCCAGAGAAAAGGGCACTTCGGTGACAGGGACCTGGTGACCCCACATTATCAACCCAAGACCACCGTCTCTGACCCCCATTTTCTTCATCTGCAAATGCAAGCAGCACTGACCGCCCGGCGTGGTGGGGGCCGAGGGTCACGGGGTGGGGACGCAGGACAAGGTGCACATGGCAGCTGAGCCTGGGGCAAGTGCTTTCTCAGCCAAGAGACGATGGATCTGTTTTGCGAGCAGGTGTCTGGGGAAGGCCCCTCAGTGTCCAGTTGTCCTGGGTAGTGGGGGAGCTACCATGTCTGAAGCCACGTTCTGTCACCCTAGGGTCCCCAACAGGGACCCTGCTCCTGAGAGATTCCGGTTTGCTGAGTGAGCGGAGGAGGCAGATGACCTTGGCCGTGGGCAGGAGCCGATGTCCTGGTCCCCACCCCCATAGCCCAGGTGGTGGGAGGGGCGGTGGGCAGTGGGCACTTTTCAGATGGGCTCAACTTTCCCTGGACGCCTCCCTCCCTCCCGCCCGGCCACCCCACCCGGCTTCCTGGCAGGCGCTGGCTGCGATGGCATCTGGAATTACTGGAATCCCGCTGTCTCCTGTCAGCTGCCCCCTCCCCGTCCCTCCTGCTGCACACAGGGCACCCTCGCACCCCACAGCCCGCTCACCTCCCACCCCAGCTCCCCCGACTCCAGGTCTCACTTCCTGCCTCCATTTCCCCTCCACCTCCTCCCCTGTCTGCTTCAGGACGTCCCTCCTCAGCCCCCCCCGCCCCCCGCCTGGCCATCCTGCTCTGTGCTCTGCCCCTGGCTGCCCTGACCCTCTCCCTCTGCTGTTCTTTACGCTTTACATCTCTCCGTCTCTGTTGGTCCCACTCTTTCTCTGCCTTTTGCTTTTAGGTACCAAGGATTGATCTCAGGGGCCTCGACCACGGAGCCCCGTCCCCAGCCCTGTTCTGTGTTTTATTTAGAGACAGGGTCTCACCGAGTTGCTTAGGGCCTCGCTGTGGCTGAGGCTGGCTTTGAACTCGAGACCCTCCTGCCTCAGCCTCCTGAGCTGCTGGGAGGACAGGTGAGCATCACTGCACCGGATCCTCTTTCTCTTTAGAGGCGTCCCCCACCCCAATCCCTCCACCTGTTCAAGGCAGTGAGCCCTCACAGCGTGTCAGGACCCTGGCTGTCTCTGCGGCTGGCTCCCCAGGGCGCAGATCTGAAGTCCAGGTGCGTGGGAAGGTGTGTGCCCTTCCTTAACTGCTCTGGGCCTCAGTGCTCTCAGGTGTACAGTAGGAGGGTCATTAGGACCAGGGGGATCGTTGGCTGTACACAGGTAGAGGCCACGTCCATGGAACCCCTGGGGTCTACTCCTGTGTCCGCCGACCCAGCCTACCTCGCTGCAGCCGCCTCCTCCCTCCCTCCCGGAGCTCTTCACGGGCCCTGCATGTCTTCTTGTCCTCGGCACAAGAAGCACACACATCCCGGGCTTGGTCCTTGTTCTCCTTCCTCTAAAGTGTGCACTGGGCTTTGTGTCTGGCTCCTGAAGAACAAAGTGTGGCAGAGGAGGCCATGAGTGACCTCTAAGGGGAAGCAGGCCGCCATGTCTTGAGGAAGCCCAAGCAGCCTCCTGGAGGTGCAGGGGGCCGAGGCCTCCTGCCAACAGCCAGCGCTGACTGGCCCGCAGGGTGTCTGTGAGCCTCCCGGGAGGCCAGTCTGTCACTCCCACAGCCTTGGCCATCATCGTGAGGTCCTCAGCCAGAGTCCCACTGTTGGATGCCCAGCCCCCAGGAACGTGCCACCATGTTTTCAACACTGCACTGAGCGCCATTTCTAACCAGGGTGAGAACCAGGAGATCCCAGGTGAGCCTGCAGTGCTCTCCCTGCCGAAGGAACACTCTCTCCTTTATTCTGGTGACACGCTGAGCTTCCGCTCACTGATTGTGTCTCTCCCGCTGAGCGGTGACCTCCATGAGGCCAGTGGTGGTGTCCCAGGCCTGACACGCGGGGCTCACGCATCAGCTCTGGCAGCAGTGCAGGGAGGTCAGGGACTGACTGCAGCTCAGCCAGGACGCCCCGCTGTGGGTCCCCATCCCTGGACGGGGCGGGAGGGACCGCCCCTCTCCTCTCTGTCCTTCTGGATTTGGCTTCATCCCCTTCCACAGCTCCCCTCGGTTTACTCCCAGCAGCGGACAGAGGGGGGACTTGTGCAGCTGAAGGGGCACCTGGGGAGAAGGGTGCTGTGTTTCTCCTCTGACGAGCACGTCCAAGGACACACTTCCCTCCACAGCGGGGCCCTGCCCAGGTGGGACGGGGTGCTTGGGGTGCAGGCCGGGGGGCCCCACCCTCCCTCTGGGGGCCCTGGGCTCAGTCACCCGGGAACCCCCCATCACGTGCTCACGTCTCACCCTTTCGCCCAGTTCTCTGCTGAGGCGGTCTCTGTTTGCTGTTTACTAATCTGTGCCTGCATTAACTCACGGCCCTCTACCCTTATACCTACCAGCTACCCCGCCCCCACCCACCCCGGCTCACACACACCCTGGGAGGCATCCACCCACCTCCCACCCGTCCACTCACCCCTCCGTCCGTCCACTTTCCCTCCTTCCCTCCTTTTACATTTCTTCTCCATGCTGTTCTTCCCTCCCTCCATTCACCCCTCTGTTCTTTCTTCAATCCACCGGCTGGTCTGTCCGTCCATCACCCACACATCTGACTGTCTATCCAACATCCGTCCGTCCTTCCGTTCAGTTAACCGACTCATCCCGCCATTGCGTCTCTCCTCTCGATTTCATCCAAACATCCGAGGGTCCTTTCTCTGATCCACGCGTCTCTCCAGCTGCTGGTGTGTAGGGCCGGTAGGACCTGGCCACTTCCCGGGGCTCTGCTGTGCCCTGGCCGCCCGGGAGGCCCGCACGCGCCTGCGCACACTCTGACAGGCGGGCCGCAGGAGACCCCCAGCTGGACGGGGCCCTGTTGCTGGTTTTGCCACGGAATCCTGGGTTTGCTGATCCTCGGTTTCCTCCCCGGGAAGCAGGGACATGGTTGGCCGTCCCTTTGCTGGACCCCGCTGAGTGCCGGCCTTGCAGACCTAAGTCGTGCTGCACCTGTGGGCCAGGCTGCGGGCAGGGCTCCCCATCCCCCAGGCCACACGCCACCTGGGCCCAGTGTCCCTGCAGCTCAGGGTCACCTCACCTTTTTTTTTTTTGTACCAGGGATGGAACCCAGGGCCTTCGACCACTGAGCCCCACCCCACCTCTATTTTGCATTTTATTTAGAGACAGGGTCTCACTGAGCTGCTCAGGGCCTCACTGTTGCTGAGGCTGGCCTTGAACTCATGATCCTCCTGCCTCAGCCTCCTGAGCCACTGGGATGACAGGCGTGCAACACCGCACCCGACTAGGTCGTCTCATTTTGGGGGTAAACAAGTCGGCATCTGGTGGCCATAAACTGGGTCCATAGGGAACTGGAGGAGGGAAGTTTTGTTTGCATTCTGTCTGTGAAACCAGTTAGGTATCTTTAAGTCCTTCCTGCCCATCCCTCAGGTTGCCAAAGGTAACAGGGTCTTCAGGGTTCATCAACCAAGAACCACTGGGGGCTTGGCTGCCTCTGGCCTCTAATTCCTGATAAACTCTGTGTGCTGTGTGACCCCAGGCAGGTTGCTTCCCGTCTCTGGACCCCCCATTGCTCACCTGTAGGTGGAGCTCAGGAATTCTTCCAAGGCTGGGCCTGGGAGCCTCACGGGGCGACCCGGGTGCCTGTTGAGGTTGGGGGCGATCGTTCTAGAAGGGTGGTGAGAGTCAGCAGGGGAAGAAGGCCAGGGAAGATCCCTGTCCTGCAAATAAGCCAGCTTGGAGGCCGTCTGGGTCACTCTGCTCGTCTGCTCTTGGCCTGCAGTGGGACGTCCCTGGGGACTTGGTGGGGACCGTTCCCTCCATGTCCTTGGGTCCTGGCTCCCGTAGCACTGAGATGCATCCTGGGTTTCAGGGAGGGAGGGAGGGAGGGGGAGGGAGGAGAGAGGGGAGTGGGCACAAGCGCTGGACCTTCTTCTTCCCGCCACACAATGCCACCCAATGGGGCTTTTGGAGAGCCCGCTCTGTGCCCTGGGCCTCGCTGTCCCCGTCTGTCAAGAGGGGCAGCAGCTGGACACTGCTCGGACTGCCCGTGTCTCTGGCTCGGGGACCCCTTCGCGGAGCGAGGAAGGACAGAGTTCTGGGCCCAGGCTGCTGTGTGGACTGGGGGGATCCAGGCTGGGGCTGGGGGGGGGAGGCCCGGGAGCCCCCAGTCAGGGCTTCTGCAGTTTGTGCCCTTGACCCTGGAGGTGGCCTCAGGGTGGTCTCAGATGAGGGCTGCCAGGCCCCTGCCCGGGTCAGAGGGTGCCGGCTCACTCCTCGGCTGTGGGTGGAGCACTCTGGTGGGGGGTGAGACTTGGCCACCAGGAGACCATGACGTCACCGGGGACCCCTCCCCTTTCCATTTCCAGCGTTGGCGCCTGCAGGGACGCCTGCCCGGCCAGCCTGACGTGGGGCTGCTCTCTCCACAGCAGGGACTCAGGGAGCCCAGCCAGGGGTGGCCAGAGCCCAGGGTCTGCCCGAGAGCCAGGCGGACAGCGGAGGCCAGGGCCCAGAGCTCAGAGGGGCGGCTGATGCCAGCCCTTCCCACTGGCCACTCTTTGTCCTCGTCACTCCTAGGCCAGCGGCTGTGGTGGCCGCCAGACTTAGCAAGTGAAAGCACAGGCACCCGGTTAGGACGAGCGATGGAGAGATGTTTAGTGTGAGTATGTCCCATGCCATCTTTGGGACATATTTATCCTGAAAAATCATTCTTTGTTTCTCTGAAAATTACATGC